TTTGGTTATGACGGTTGCGACTACTCCAGAGACGCTGTGACTGAATAGGATCAAAAGGCTGCCAAGTTCGAGACCGATTGTCGTTGGATCATATAGATATGATTGTCTGCCCGCTATTAGTACTCGATCGATGACATTACGGTTCACCCTTAGTGGAGCAGAGAAGTCGATACAGCAGTGTTCCTATATAACACAATCCGCACAATCAATCCCACTTAATCGAGGGACCCTGGCCGATATGCGACCCACGACCATCGAAATATATTTGTACACTATATATATCGCTGTCACGGTCGTGAGCACAACTTTCGCCAAACGCTGCATTGCCGGCTGGGTGCATTGTAGTGCACCCATATTGCCATATGCCATGCTTGCGCAGGGTACTGAGATCGAGTAATCGCGGATCGATCGCGTGTACGCGTTCGCGTATCAACATTCAACGCCCAACTATAAAGTTTAGAGAAAGAAATACATATTGCTTGGTTAAGTGGTAAATGGTAAATTGCAGAGTTGCATATAGAGATGGTTACAAGTAAAATTAACAGCTAGGTAAATGTTAAGACGGCTACTAGACTTATGGCTAAGTGGAGATGCCAATAAAAGCGACAGAGACTTGATTAGGCGACGTCAGGCTGGAAAGATTTCCATTGGATCGGGAGAGAGTAAAATAAATCTGAAGGCGAGGCAACTCATGCGCACTGTATTTTTGCGCAGTTGCTGTAAATCACAATACATACACACACATGTAGGGGGTCGGATTATACGAGGTGAAAGGTATTTTACATCCCGCAAGTGCGAGAGAGATGTGACGCGAACGTACATACAATGTACAGATGTAAAGGTTATTTTTAGAGCAATTGCTTAAGCCCCGTTACGGGGGGTGAATAATCGAGAAATTTCTAGACGATGTGAAATGGGAATACTGCTCAAAGTACCCCATGTATTATGCAACGTGGTGAAATTGCAGGCAAACTTTTCACATTTGCTGCAGAAGTATTCAGACCTTGGGCGAGGTTTTAGAAACCCATTTGGGCCACGAGGTCATTGCATACAATCTACAAAAACGTCTTAAGTTAGTGGGTGCTTACGAATTAAGTGATGCAGTGAAAAAAACTCGCTGAACTCGCTGCTGTGTGTACCTGGCTTCCTTCCTATCCCAACACTTCAAATCCTCGAACACTGTAGGTTAGGGCCATCGCCATACGACTTAGGGGGGGAAGATTGTAGTGGTCCCGGACATCCTGGATCTGCCTAGCCAACCTCGAGAGACTGCAAAACTGCCTTTTTCACATTGTGAAACTCCTCGACGCTGACGAGCAAAATCGATGACTAATTCGCCTGATTTTTTCCACTGGGGACTGGTTTCTTTGTTTCCAAACGTTGCCCAAATGTGGAGAAGTACTACGTGGGCCCCTCCGCCACTGTGCCAATCTGCTTCCGCTTCTCAGCTTCCGCACCACGATTATCACACTTTTGATACATTTTTTGGTACTAAAAACTTTTTACTGGCCAGAAAGAATGGAAAATTTGTACTTTTGTACTATTTAGACTTATTTTCAGCTACACTACGTCTGCACTTGAACACTTATTTTTCGAGAGTGACGTGCTGTGGCAAAACGAGCTCTATATATACCTGAAGCGAGTTTACCCGCCTGCTTCGGGAAACATCTGCCAGTCTCCGGAACATTTGACATCAACGGGGGTGAGCGAGTGCACAATACTTTGGCTGCTACGTGACGTTTTTCCCATGCTCTCAAAACGGTGGAGATCTCACTGGCCAACAAAACCTACCCTCTTATCATGGGAAAATAGGGAAAACAGATGAAAGCAGATGGTTTTTGGTTTCACAATAAACTGAAATATATGTAGGTAAATTCATTCAGCAATGTACATGAATATATAGTTTTATACAATAGTTTGTAATTAAACATAGGTAGCTCAAAGAATGACTAATTTCTTCCTTAAATACCGACGTTTTCTACAATAAAATATAAACTTTGTAATTTGGAAAATTTTCGTTATTAATTATACCTTATAGCTGTTCTCAATAAAACATTTCATTATATTATAACAGAAATAATCTAAAATATTTCTATTAGGGACAAAGTTTTATTATAAGGGCATTTCACTATCTTGTTAAATAGTGTAACTTGGGGCTATCAAGATTCTAGAAAGAGAAGCCAACTGTTGGAAAATTCCAGAGTGCGTCAACTGGCCCCCACTGATTCATAGGGTTGTCGCTACTTGTTTATGTACAATGCTTATATTCTTTTTCCTAATTTTCTTATACATAATTAAAAGGAATAAATGAATTAAAAACAAGAGAAAAGAAGCTTATGAAAGCAGCATTATATTATAGAATTTAGTTTTATTTTGTAAAGTATACGTCCAGTTGGCACGTAAAAAACTGGTACCAAAAACAACCACGTCTGTATTATGTAGTAAAGAGCGCCACATATTTAAAAGTGTCAAATACGCAAGAAATTTACTTTTTGTTATACTTTTATTTGAAAGCATTAGATAAATTTTATTTTACTTTAACATAAATATATTATTAAATATTTTTTCTGTAAAATTGCTTGTAAAATGGTTTTAAAGATCTAAGGTTATGATAATTAACGAAACGTCCTTGTACATAGTATTTATTCAAACCTCTTAAAACCCAAGATTATAAACATTCCTGGACTACCCTAATCTGGGTTTCAATGCTTCACCTACCTGTTTTGGTCAACCCCTATTTACACATTTTAACTACAACGAAAAACACCCCGAATCGGTTCAGTGTATGTTGGCAGATGCCCAAATGTTTGCGAGTGCTGAACCAAACACAAGGTTTTTGAACCTTTGGGCCACTGGCTGAGCAGGAAAGCCAGCTGTTGCAAACGCACGCGCATCCTGTGCTCAGTTAAATCGAAGGACCCAAGGGGTGGGTCAAACTCCTCCCGATGGTTAAGAGGACACAGTGAGAGGCAGAGGACATAGAGAGAGGGAGAGACAGAGAGAGAGCAAGAGGGGAAGTGAGTGATGGGCTTGAGTGAGTTCCGGAATATCCTTGAGCAACAGCATTGGACAAATAGTGTGGAATGCTCCAATTTGAGTACAAATAAATGCTAACGAGCTGAGTTGCGAAACTTGAAAACTGCCATTAAACTTCAAAAACAAAAAGTATGCAAAGTGATGGACCAAACTTTTGATTATTGCTTCGCCCGACCGAGGTTTAATTGCCGACCCAGCTTAACCGGTAGCCAAAAATGTCTGTGGGGCCGGAAGGAGCTCTATTCGCCGTCGAGGAAGCGCCACAATAAAAACTTAGTTGCATTGGAAGGAAGCCCGACATGAACATAAACAGAAAAGTGAAAGCGACAATGACAGCAATTGACACGAATAACAATAGGAGGCACAGCAGCATAATGGAAGCAACACGGAAATTGCGTATACGCCGTGTGAGCTCGTGTATGTCTGGCAAACAATTGGGGCTTGTTGCTTTACGTTTACGTTTGTGTTTCGGTTTTCTGTTTTATTTCCTGCGGCAGGCACGCAACAAACAATGGCCCAAAAGTCAAATGGCATAATAAACGTATTTATGAAAGGGGCCCGCATCAAAATGAGCATATGATTCTAGCTGGGGTTTCAAGCCCCAGGCGGGAAGTGTGAATGGGGGGCGGGTAAGTGTATGTATGAGTGGGAGTGAGAGAAGGAGGCTGTAGGCGGCTGTGGGATCACAGCCTCCCACATGCTTGCCATGACATTTCGACGCTGCTCAACCTTGGATATTGCCAAATGTGGTCCTTCAGTTTTAAGCCTACAAAGTTGTGCGCTAAGCCTGGCCGTAACAGGACGAAACGGGAAAACGGCCGAGAGGCCGGACGGAATGGGGAAAAGTATAAACATATAGGAGAGCTCTGTCATTGCATTTGGGGGCCGTTGGTTCAGCGTTCACGAGTGCGCCCAGTACATAGGCGACAAGGACGATTGAGCGAGCTACCGTTGCCGCCCACCCGAGTGGCCCACCCGCCCACATTGAGCCCAAAAACCCAACCATGCCAAGCCGAAGAGCACTGCCGAAGCAAGGACTTGCGGCGGGCGCGGTTTGGCAACAGGGACCTACATTCAGTCGTATCCGATCCGTCGGCTCTTATCGGGAACGGGTCGTGTCTGTCGTGCGGATGGCCAGATAGCCTGAAAAACGAGCTGCCGTGGCCGCAATGGCAGCAGTCCTCATTCAGACGCGAATCCGTTTACAACGCGGACGCCCCAGGGGCGGATTAATGCCATTCATTTGGCCAACAACAATAGTAACAAAAACAACAATACCGCAACACGGAAACGACCACGCGTAGTGTTAACCTTTTGGATGTTTTGCGGATTTTTTCCCCAGTTTATGTTTACCTTATGAGTGGGGAGTGTTTGTGCATCTGTGGGTTGTGTGTGGGAGTTTTCTGGCTGCATCTGGAGTGCAGTTTTTATCCCTGACAGTTTAATTAGTTCCACTCCGACCGCCTCCGACTGATTTGTCAGTGTCTTGCTGTTGACACTTGGTCATACGCCCCATTGGGCCCATGGGCCAAGTCCGAGAGACTATCAGGACCATCATCTCCTGCAGATGGCCAGCAGGCATGTAAGCTCAATTAGGTTCCCAAGCACTTTCACGCTCGAAATGGAGCCCCAATGGCCATGGCACACCAGCTGTGTAGCTACACAGCAAATATGGGATTAATTTAAAGTTTAAAGTTTTGAATAGTATCCATAAACATGTTCTCGAATGTTTGTACAAATTAGTTTAAAACTTTTATGAATTTAATGAAAGGAGTACAAGCCGTTTTCCAAATGTTAGAAGCCTTCAACGAGTTTATCTTTTAGATATATTTTAAATTGCTTTTGCTAAAATTAGAAAACCTATATTTATAGCTTTCAAATCTTAATCTTTCGATAGTAGAGAACCAAAACTTTTTAGACTCCTTCTTTTGGCCAAATTACGGCCATTTAAAGTGGGCTTATCAATACCAATTCAAAAAATTTCGTCCTGTGCATGGATAGTCTGAATTGTGTGACATGGGGTCCTTAGTCGCCAGTTTGTCTGATGTAGACACTCCCATGGAACCGCACAAAAGATTCTCGAATCGACTTGGCTCTGTGGCAATTGTTTCAATGCCTCAATGGCAATTTTTTGGCACTCAATCGAAGAGTGCTTCGTGTGCTTTGCAGTTGTACTTAATGGAATTTTTATGCGTTGCTATTGAGTCGCTCAATTGCTCGTTTTGTCGATGTTTGTTCGACGGTTTCTTACATTTTTTTTTCGCTTTTTTTGAGGTCAAAGTGCACGGTGGCTGGCTTTTCAATTGTGCCAAAAACAGCAGCAAACAGCGGCGGCCAAACAATGGGAGAAATGGCATTAAAATTAATTAGCGACGCGCATGTGTTCTTCGTGGCTGTGACCATGTCCCTGAGCATTCCGCTCTCCGCTCGGCGTTCAATGCTATCCACACCCGTACCGCCCAGCATTTGGCCTTATCTGAAATATGCACACGAGTCCTTGGACCGCCGACTTTTTCGTAATGCCAGCCAAGGTAACGTCAAACCAGCTGACGAACGACCCCAGTGCCCAGAACTTCATTCGGATTCGGATTCGCATCCGCATCCGAAACGGCAACAAATTATGCTAGGTGATTTTCAGCCTTGAGGGACAGTGAGCTGCTAGTGGAAATTGCATTTGTTGTGCAACTTCGGGGCATACTTACCCACACACACCCACAGATGGGGAAACAGTGATACGCAGAGATCCTGCGAGAAGATTACATTGTGGGGCGTGAGTGTTAATTAAAAGTTGTTCTCTAATCCTGAAGCCACGAAACTTCCTGCATATCCTACATACAAAACAACCGAATGTTTCTTAACGCCAACGAAATGCCAAGCGACGATGCCATTTTTATAGACTTTTTGTAAGCAACGACTGGGGACGACTGGGGAGGCGAACCAGACTCGAATTGGAGATAGCGACTCTAGGCGCCACTAAAAGTGTCAGCCCGTTTAATCAAGACGGCCTGATGATGGCAGCCAGCGGGCGGATTCGCAAGCGCAAGCATAAAAGCCATCTCACTGGCGACACTGCGGCAGCAACACTTACAACAGCAACACCAGGCCCAACCGCCACACCAGCCAGCCTGGCAACCACAGCGGCAACGCCAACAGCCACATCGGGCCTCGGCAGACTGGATCAGACCATGGAGGAAGTCTCCTTGGCCGGGGACTATAATAATTTCACGCATAATTTCGTCGATTTGCAGAACCTCTTGAATTTCAACGAATTGCTGAGCAGCAGCCAGAATGGAACCGCTGGTAGTGGTGGCAGTAGTTTAGATAGCACCTCGAGCGCATCGAGTGCCATTAAGCTGAGTAACGGAGCCATTAAGGACACTCTGCTAGGCACTGTCCTGACCACCGCTACGGCCACTGTGGCGCCGGCGGCCAGCTCGCTGATGGCGAAGTTGGGAGCCACCACGACGTCGGCCACAGCGGCAGTGGCAGCGGCAGCTGCCGGAGGATCTCGGACGGCCGTTGCCGATCCCACCACATCCACCTATTATGCAAACTTGCTGAACATGTCGCCCGCCACCACCAGCCTGATCTCGGCGGCAGCGGCCACCAAATCCTACAACGACAGTGTCCTGCGGTGGGAGCAGCTGGACGGAAGCGTGGACTTCACCTTTGATCCTCTCTACCGGCACTCACTGGCCATGTCCATAGTGTACTGTGTGGCCTACATCCTGGTGTTCCTGGTTGGCCTGGTCGGCAACAGTTTCGTGATTGCCGTGGTCCTGCGGGCACCCCGCATGCGAACGGTGACAAACTACTTCATTGTGAATCTGGTGGGTGGACCCCTAAATCATACAGATGAACCCCATTAATTTCAAATAAAATTTCCATTTCTCTGCCAACTATGACACCAGGCCATAGCGGACATCCTAGTCATTGTGTTCTGCCTGCCAGCCACTCTGATTAGCAACATCTTTGTGCGTAAGTATGAGCTCTTTAAATCAGTAAGACGTCGAGATTTATTTGCCACGAGGGCCGAGTGTGGGACCATTAAGGTCCTGGGACCTATGGTTGGGTGATGCTTGAGGCTCTTTTTTGTGTGGCTGTGCATATTAGTCCGATTTATGTCCTGCAATTAATCGCCGCTTAGATAAAGCCTTGCCAAATGACTTGGCCAAAATTTGTTGCTTCTGCGTGTTTACGCTGCGTATGCGTAATTTCGCAGATACATACGCTCGAACAGAAGTGTAATGGGCGCGTCATTAAGTCTAATGTGGGTATAAATGTCCAAGCTGAAGTACTTACTTTTTGCTTTCGTTTTTCTAAGAGGAAAAACTTTAAGACCGCCGCATTCTTATACCGGGTTATATATCAGTTAAAACTCTATGCATACTGCCAGACTCCTTCCGTTTTCTCCCAATTCCGACTCGGTCTCATCGAAATTACAGCAATGGGTGCCTTTAGTGCCTTGCATAAAATGGACACTAAATGTCAGAGCACATGCTTAGTCTTTGAATTCTGGTGATAGTCTTCTGGTGAATGTCGAGCTAAGACAGGAGTTTTAAGAGCTCTTGTCTTGAAAAAATAAAGGAAACACATAAATCCATAAAGTGACAGATACCAGAAATTCCACTTAATTATTGAAAGGGGTGAACACGGTATCCAAGTGACAACTGCTTATACTCGCAGCCAAGATTCCCACTCAATTAAATTAATTTTTCTCTAGCCCCAAACCATCTTGGCATTGACAATTCGCAAGTTCCCAAGGTACGAGTGTCTATTTAATTAAAGGCCAATTCCAAATCCCAGCGACGACCCACAAACGACCCGATAAACGAGGTTACGCATAATTGTATGCTTTAATTTAAATAAATTTTGCCTGACATGCCTATCCAACCATCCATCTATGTATCTGTCTCTGTCTGTTGGCCTCTCTCCCTCTCAAGTCTGAACAATTCCAATCCTTAGACTTTGTGTCCTGTCATCCAAATTTATAGTCGTAGAAGCGGGCGAGAAGGTGAGCGAATGTCTATGCAAATCGCCGTCGACATGGAAAAATGATCGAAATCCTTGGGAAATCAAATTCCGATTGTGGAGCATGCCATCCTCCATTGTAATTTGCCATGATGTGATGGCTACAGGAGCCCCAAACCCGAGCCTGGTGGCCCAAAGCCAGCTTGTAGGCTCACAGGTCGGGCCAAGTGTTGCCAATTAAGTGGCACTGTTCTGTGAGAACTCTCATTCTCTTGTTGCATTATTCGTACACTGCGGAAAATATTTAAATATGATGGGATATTTAATAAGACCAACAATATCGCTAACAAATAATAAAGTCAATATGGAGCTTATTTTACAAAATAATTTAATGGTTGAACCGCTTTCCAAACTCTAATCTCCAGGGAAGTATATTCTTAAAGGAGTTTAATGCTCCATAGAGTCATATAGCATTGGATACACCTAAATAAGGTCTCTTTTGTTATATTTTAGATACCTTTTTTTTTGGAAAAATCAAATATATACTGTATTAATAATGCTGAAAGTATTAGAGATGCAAGTTGATTAAACAAACTTCACAGTGTTCCTTAACTCCAGTACATGGCACTGCGCTCATAAGCACTGCTGTCCTCCCTTCCTTGGCAGCGCCCCAAAACAAGTGGGCGGGATGGGTTTACTGTGGTGGGCTGAAGGGTTTTGGGTGCTGTTGGGGCTGTAGTAAACGAAGGCAACCGAGTGAAAATCGCACGAAACGAATGAAGCGAATGGCGAAAAAGTGAATGAGTTTACCTCAGCCTGCATTGTGGGGCTGTGTGTAGGTGTTGGTAGGGACACCGTGTCTGTGTCACTGCGCACTCTCTTTCTCTCTGTCTGGCTCTCCCTTCCCAGGCTCTCACTCTCTACGTACTCTCGGTTTTCAGTGTGTGGGCCTGTGTGTGTGCAGTTGTTGCTGCCTTTCGGGGTGGCCTAAAGGATCATCGACACAAAACTGACCTAATTTCACAAATTCAAGCTAGGCGCAGGGCTGGCGATGCCAAGGGGCCGACAACTCTTAGTGGGTCACTGGGGGTGGTGGGTGGCTTTGCGCTCCCATTCGCCCCCAACCCTTTTCGCCGCCATCGCTTTTCGCTGGCATGTCTTGACTCTGGCTCAGCTGCTGAGGAGGCCTAAGAAAAAACGCCAGCCACAACAAATTGCAGCCCTTCTGCTGGCATTGGTAGGAGGTGATTTGGGTGGCTCCGTGTCCTCCCCTCAAGCTCCACAGAGCCCCTCTTCCCCATTCACATTCCATTCCTATTCACTTTCGACAAGCTGCTGAAGTTTAAATCGAAGGCAGCGAGTTCAGCGAGCCAGAAAGAATGGAATAATCAGTACACGGAAAACATAATATTTAATATCAGCAAATTTTTATAATTTGAAAAATATTTTTAAAATATAAAGATGCTAAAAATGATATATATTTTATATAATTTATATACATTTTTATATATTTTCACCTTACGTTTAGGTGCCTCAAATTAGAGCCAATATCTATAGTCCTTAATATACATAATTTATGAACATAAAAATCCTCTATAAGTTCAAAAACATTTTGCATAACTTGTTGAAATAGTTTTCTCTGCAAATTTGAGAATGTGGGGGATGTTGGAATGCCTGGCATATTTGAAAATCGAACATGGCTCTTCGCTGTCTGATAGTTTTTATATCAAAGGGATGGTCTCCATGTTGTGCCCTCAAACTGAATTTATATGAAATCAAATTCGACGTTGTCGCCGCAGCCGTAGCCGTTGGTGCCGTCGTCGCTGCCGCAGTCGCAGCTAGCAGCGACGCGAGCAATGGCCATCGCCACAGGCAGCGCCATTATCTAAGCACACCTTCAAGCCTCAGAATTGCAATGGAAGGTTGTTTGCATTCAAGGCTCTTTGCGGCTGGATGAATTGACCTAAATATTTCGCTTGGCAAACCTAATAGTCAGGGTTATACCCTCACTCCCCACGTGTGTGTGTTTTTGTGTGTGGTTGTGTTTGTACCTGAGCTGGGTTGGGCCTGTACTGTGTTCTTTTTTTCTTGTTTTTTGTAGCCTTTTGGTTTGACGGAGAGTGGGTGGTGGTGCTGCTGGGTTTGTGGCTCTTGCGGGTCTGGGTTCGGAATGCGGCTCTGGCCCTTATTTATGTGTGTGCTTCGAAATCCAATAAAATGCGAAATGAATTGATTTCCTAGCAACGATGCCGCCTTGAGACGAAGGATATCCTTGCTATCCTTGCCAGCCCCAACACCAATTGCTCCAAATGGCGCTTTATGGCCATTGTTGTGCCATGTTATCAATGCGAAATCGTTATCATTACGGCCCATGCTAGTCCGTAACACGTTTTCCGTTATTCCGGGGATCGAAAGTCTCAAATCGGGCATCCAGAGTCACGTTGCCAGCTTTTCTGATTAGAATTGCCTCGTGATTTGTGCCGGGCCAACGCGGCGTATACGAAACCTCCCTTTGCACTCTGCTCTGCTTCTGGCTCTGATGAAGTCATTTTTCAGCACTTTCTGCTTGTCGATTGTATTTTAATTTAGTCGCTACGTGCCGGCGGCGAACTTGGAGCCTCCCAGCTCCAGGATCCTACTGGCAGTACCATATCTCACCTCACAGTACCCTCCCGCCCTTCGCCAAGTCCGACATTTCTTCGCGCAAGTCTGTGGTATTCAATTTGCCGCCTAGCTGGCACAGAAGTCGCCGCAGGACGTGACGCCTGGATGATAATCATAACAATAACGCATTTGTCTGAAGTGTTATGCCTTTTCCATGGCCACTCCACCGGCTCCCTCCTCCTCCAATCCAATCGAATCCCCAACCCACGTCCACGCCCACGCCAAACCCTTGGCGAATTTGTTACGCCTGATTATTTCATTAACTTTACGACCCAACTCTGTGCATGACAATGCCGCCACCGAAACGAATTTACAATGCCGACAATAATCCAATCCACTTTGCCTGCCGAACGAACAAACAAAAGTTTGCCCAGGACGCCCAGTCCCTGTCCTGTGCCTGGGGCAAAAATAAAAGGCTTAGAGAACCAGCCCACTTGACATTTTGTGGGGGGCTCTCAGCCGGGCTCAGCCCACAATCGAAGGCTACACCGATAAGCCAGTAAATCGATTGGTGTTATCTCCTGCAGTTGATCAAAATTGAGCACAAGCTTACGCTTATAAATTGAGGCGTCTGTATGCCATATGTTGCCACGTCAAAACACACTCGAACCCGAAGTCAGGCACTCATCCCACCTTGACGCTAGGAAACCAAGAAGCTGGAATGTTTGCCAAGTAAACCCAGAACAACGTTCGAGTATTTGGTTTCACTTGTGGCCACAAATTGGTAATGCCACAAAGCAGAAAGAGTTTGCCAGGGTCGCGCAGTCAGGACACGCAAGTCAATTAGTGCTATTTCGGTACCTGCAATTATGTTTACACAACACATTATGGATTCTAGACTCTAAGAAGACCAGTCAGTTATTGGATTTTTGTTGATTATGTACTTCTGAAGAAGCTAATTATTATTTTTTTGTTTCAGTCATGTTTTTCTAAAAATAGCTAAGGGAGTGCATCGCCCCGAACCTTTCACCTTTACCTTGAAACTTTGTTATTTTAATGTTAAAACAAATAAACCTTTAATCTTTTTTTGTGGCATATTAAATGCCAAGCCTTTTTATAAATTTCAAGAAAAAAATGAATTACATCTGGATCAATAAGCTTTTCCATATTTGGCTTGTTGGTGAAAAACGTAAACCCACTTTTTATTAAACTTAACAGTTAAGGTAACCTCAGAGAAGTTATGTTTTCAGAGGGTTTCCATCTTAGGGGAGTTATTTTAAAACCCTCTTTTTGGCTTAACTTAGAGTCAACCGCCCCCACAACTATTGTTGACTTGTGTCTTCTGAAAAACCACTTTACCCCGTTGAGCTTAGCATAATATAAACTTGGCTCAGACAGTTGGCTCCTTTGAGTGCATTGGTGCAAACTTTAATCCCAGACAAACAGCATAAGTCACGTTCGCTCCTCGGAATGGAAGTGCATACCCAATTAGATAGTTTATTTGCCGAAGAAGAGTCGAACAAATATTTGTCTTAAAAAAATAAGTTCACCGAATTAGAGCTGTATTTCTCTTGTGGGGAAGTGATGAAGCATCTCGGAACGGAATTTGAATTTAAATTCGTTTTTAATCCACTTGAAGTCCTAGACAAAGTCATATATCAAAGTTCACCCTTATCAGCATAATATGAAATAAGTAGCCAGATACACTCGCATTAATGGCTTTTGGTTCGGTTTCAGTCTGTTGCACTTGCAGGTCTGCCTGCTCCAGCCCTCCTGACATTTCAAACCGAAGGAATAAAATCGAAAAACCCATCTGAGCTGCTGTCTCCTCGCGTAAGGTCCTGTGTACACACAGTTGATTGTTTGTCTGTCTGGTGTCCTGCCCACGCACAGACCACACACAAACACCCATGATCCTGGCCAGAACCTGTCCAAAGAGTTCACTTGCACCAAGCTCAAATAATATTTATATTTTTATGTGCCAAATCATATTAAAGTTAGCTTTTATTGGGCTGCGTATGCATAATAAAAAGCGACAACAAATCGAGATAAGACAGGCGAACGAGACAGGAAATTAGAAGCCCGGCGGAGAGGAGGAGGCGAAGTCGGAGTCCAAGACGCTGGCACCTCCTTCGCAGCACATTGAACTTCGCGAGCCCCCTGCCCTGGTGCTAATGATGTGACGTACGAGCTGTACTTGTTTAATTGCCATTCGATATGTCATGCCCCGGGCGTTGATGGTTCGGCTGTCATCAACCTTGTCTTGGAAGTTCGAGCCGCCTTCGCCAGCCGGAGGCTAGTCTCCGTCCCCAGCCCTCCGGCCATATGTGTTTTATAACCTTTTGTGTCTGAGTGAGTTATTTCTCCCAGCATAAAATTCATAACGCACAACTATGCGAGGAGCTATGCTGGCGCAATTACGGCCCGTGTCTTCCATCTTCCATCAAATGGAATAAAAGGAATACAAATTAACTTAGGCAACTGCGGTCTGCCCTGGTCTTCGCCTTGGTCTTGGTTTTGGTCGTGGTCTTGGTCCTGGTCTGGCCAAACAATACGTTCCCCCTAGGCTTCCACCAAGATCCCTGTGCCCAGTGGCTGGGCTGGGAGCGCAATCTGAGACTTGTCACCAAATTATGAATGATATGCAGCACATAAATCTCAGTCAGCAAACAACGGCAGGGACGTGGCGGCTGGGACGTTGCTGACAAGAAGCATTGAACGTTAACCAGGTCCTAAAAACAACTCGAACCCAACTGGCCGTGACTAGAAGAACTACTGCACTGGGAGATAGGTTCCTTTTTTTTCAATGAAAACATTAAGTATACGCCACCGAATTTCAACTTTAAAGTTCAATTGTTTAATCATTGTTTTTCATTATACGGCTTTTCTAAAAATCATTTAATCTCAAAAGATATAAGAGAATACTTCTTTTCACCATTTTCTTGAAAAAATCAATTGAATGACTAACTTTTTTCGAGTGTACGACTAGCACAACGTGGACCTTCTGACCGAAAGTTACTCAGCATAATTTTTGCATTGTTTATGGCCAATATTTACCAATTTCTCTTTCCCTCTTGCTTTCTCCTATAACTCTGCCCCTCAACTCATCAAACCAATGACCAGCCTGGATGCTCGGATGGCTGATGTGCAAGTTTGTGCCCTACATACAGGGTGTCTCCGTGGCGGCCTCCGTCTACAGCCTAATTGCCGTTTCCCTGGACAGGTGAGTTTAAAAACAAAACACTCGCTCCAATTACATGTCTATGAACTTTTATTGTGGGATCGGTTTCGGGATGGGGGTCGAGGTCGGGGTCATGTCGGGTACTGGCTGGTACTGGGAATTGGATTGGATAGGGATCGGGATGGGGACTGGGGTTGGGAAAAGCAGTGCGGCGGCTAGTCCGGTTAATGATGCACAACCACAGCTGGGGCAGCATGATGCACTGGAACCAAAGGCACAATCGGCTTGACGGCATGCACTGCCACCACGGGACGGTGGACAATAGGGGTGACGACCTTGACGGCTGCCGGATGATGCACAACGTGGCTGTTGGGGACGAGAAAAATAAGGGGTTAAGTGGTGAATCGAGTGCGATAAGCAGATTGAGAATGAATGGCTTACGAGTGCACCGAGTGGGCGCCATGATGGATGATGGGAGTGTGCACCACGGCGGGGTGCGCCACCACGGGGGCCACGGCTACCACTCCGGGATAGGCGTAAGCCTGGGCGGCGGCGAAGGCGGCTAGCACGAACAGCTGCAGAGGATCAAAGTTCGCGGATTAGCGGGATTTGATGGTAACCGCAGGAGGTGGCATGTGACAGGAACACAAAAAACAAATTACTTTAGATTTATTCTACTTAAAATGTTAGATTTCTGAACTTTACGAAACCTTAAAGCCTTTTATTTTTGATACTAATTTTAAGATTTAGTTTACTCACAACTTTGAACATTTTGTTGGTGGTTTTTGGCGGGAAGCTGGTTAAAAAGCTAAGCTAATGACTGGTAATTGTCAACTGATGACAAACTGGGCCCAGACTGGCGCTTTTATAGGGGATTTAAGCCGGCCAGTGAGCCGAAAGTGAACGCGGCTCAATGCAAGCAGCTAGGAAAACTGGTCAGATCGAGAATCAGACATAAGGCAGCCATGCAGGCAGTACGATATAGAAAAAACATTAGACAGCATAAGGCGGTAGGAGAGCCAGTGGAGCAGTTGTCTCAAGATCAAGTTCATCATATGTTCGCTTGCCTTGTACGTATTTGGCGCCGCATACAATCAATTTCATGTTTCTCGCGTTTTCTGAATTTTAAATAGGCCTTAGAATGTTGTTTGCTAATTTGCCTTGTTATCCATTAAATCGTCAAGTTGACCGCCAGAAATCAAAGTCGAAGTTAGCAGTCCTTCTGCTTCCTGCAGCATAAAGCATAAATACATAAAGAAACCGATAATGTGGGATGCTCTTGGTGGCCATAAAGTTGGAAATGTCGCGGGCAACTGATTTATCAAGTGCCACTAAAACGTTTTGACGTGTGCCAGTCATAACCCCAAGGACAATGCGAGTTGCCAAGTGTCCGTCGCTTTATGAGCACTTCCATTTATATCAATTTCTGGGCGTTATCAGAGGAGGAGTCTTAGCTACTGGCACTGACTGTTTCTATTTCTGCCAGTGTCATTTTTCAGCCAGCGGCCACAGAGACGCCAACAGCAGTCACATAATGTAGTACATCATTTGATCGTTTGGTCAGCCGCATACTCCCATGACGGAGCCCGCCCACGGTCAAGTCCATTGCCTCATCATCGCCCCTTGCCACATCGCCCATCTACCATCTAAATCCTAGCCCAGGTCCTGGACAGAGTTCGAGTCCACCAATGCCTGTTTATCCAGTTGTTTGCCAGCACCCGCTGTTGCTTTGTATTTTTACGAGCACTCGTAAACCGAATAGAAATTTAAGATTTATTATCTGTAACATGAAACTTAAATCGCTACTCGTTGTCTTAGAAGCGGGCTTAAGGGCTGAATGCCAGGACTTCGGTGAATCGGGATTCCGGATGCTGGGCAACTAAGTCTCCTCCGTGATTAAGCTTATCACTCGCTTATTCTTATTCTATGGTTATACTTATGCCAAAGCTATTTAATTAGTGTCGTCTTGTAGCCAGAATTCTTATGTATAATCATAAAATCCATACATATATCAGCGAACTGGCGTAAAAACATAGTTGTGGCTTTATGGCGCTGGCATTGAGGTTTTGTGACTTCGTTCGTGGGCTTCGTAAATGTCAACAGTGCGTATGGGTAACCGCAGAAGGAACTCGGCAAGTGTCATAAAACCTAGAAGGAGCAGCGGGAAAAAGGTGCCATTGTCAGGCCAATTATTAAATTTTCTGCTCCTTGAAAGCTGTAAACGTGTGTATATGAATATAGAACCACTCCGAAACAGTCATTCATCCTGCGTTGGAATTAAAATCATCATATTTTCAATGATTTACCAATCTCGACAAAGTAAATGAGTTTCAATTACGTAATAATTGCTGCGAATATTTAACAACAATAGCTTCATTAATTCTCCTTAATTGCCACAATAAAGCACAATTGAAAACGTTTCCTTTTCGAATACAAACGTCTCCCTTAATAGCCAAATTAAGGGTATAACGACCATAATTTAAGATACTAATTGTTTGAATTGGTTAAGAATTTAAAGCATTTAAGGACATAACAGATAGCTTGAGTAAATCATAGTTCAATTAGTGACTCAGAAAATATGCTTTATCCACTTTTCGCATTCAATTGTATGTCATCAATTCTTGAAATTAATTTTTTCGAATACAGAACACAGAATACCGAGCTTATCCCAAAGAACTCAATTAAGCTCTCGCCTGATTTATGAGCATTGAATACCGCATGGGCAAATTATGTTAATGCAATTGCTCGGCTGATATAAATAAACGTTATGACAATTTGATATTGGTTCTGCGGACAGCTTTGTTTCGCCCCATCTCCCGCATTATTGCGAGATGAGGGTCTCGGCAGCACTTTGTTCTGCTGGCTATTTTTAGTTGGGAGAAACGAGATTCAGTTGTGGATGCCCTCTAATGGAATTACCGCTGTGTTATCTGCCCAATGTTGTGGCGGACAGACACAGGCGACGACCCAAGTCGCTCGAAAAGACCAAAATACGAGCACAATGCACGTAATTACATGCTTTTTTGGACAGGCCAGGCCCGGCCAGACCAGGACAGGACAGGAGCAGACGCCCCAGAGCAAGACTTGTCTATGACCATTCAGCGGGCGCCACAATCAGCCGGCTGCACTAAGCCAAATGAAAAATGCTGAACTCGTTGATGGCTCCACCCTCCATCCAGCCCCCACCTAGGAGAGCTCCTTTGCTCCTCAGCTCTTATTCAAATTACAATTCATTATGGCAAGCAGAATAAAAAATGGTACTCCTGCTCCCCTCCGGTGGTATTCTACGTTTTTTGGGTGGGGATAGGAACAGAATGGGAGTGAGCTGGTGAGTTCAATAGACGAGATTGGAAAGCGAACACTCAGCAGAAAAAGGCTTAAAGGACTGTCGACTGGCGGCATCCTGCGTGTGCAAATTAATCAGCGAAGATGCTACTCGTACTATTTGCATGTCGAGAGCTCCTGTCTCCTGTCTCCTGCCGGCTGAAACGGTGTCGTCATCGTCGCCACGACAGCTTGATGATTGCCATTATCCTTGACGGCTCAGCGCCGTCAGCGGCATCTGGAGCTCCTCAAACTGAACTCCCTTCAACCGACAATTTGGTAAACACCCTTTGTTCCATTCCCACCATTGCAGGTTCATTGCCATCTGGTGGCCCCTGAAGCAGATGACAAAGCGACGTGCTCGCATCATGATAATCGGCATATGGGTAATCGCGCTGGTGACCACCATACCTTGGCTGCTCTTCTTCGACCTGGTGCCCGCCGAGGAGGTCTTCTCGGACGCCCTCGTATCGGCCTACTCGCAGCCGCAGTACCTCTGCCAGGAGGTCTGGCCACCCGGCACCGACGGCAACCTGTACTTCCTGCTGGCCCACCTGGTGGCCTGCTATCTCCTGCCTATGTCGCTGATCACGCTCTGCTACGTGCTCATCTGGATCAAGGTCTCCACGAGATCCATTCCCGGCGAGTCGAAGGACGCCCAGATGGACCGAATGCAGCAGAAGAGCAAGGTGAAAGTTATCAAAATGCTCGTGGCCGTGGTAATCCTCTTCGTCCTTTCCTGGCTGCCACTCTACGTCATCTTTGCGCGTATTAAGTTCGGCTCGGACATATCGCAGGAGGAGTTTGAGATTCTTAAAAAGGTGATGCCGCTGGCCCAGTGGCTCGGTTCCTCCAACAGCTGCATCAACCCTATTTTGTACTCGGTGAACAAGAAGTACCGCCGAGGATTCGCGGCCATTATTAAGTCTCGCAGTTGCTGCGGACGCCTCAGGTGAGTGAGGGACTTTTCAGAGTTCGGACAAGACAATAGAAGCTTAATTGGATTCTCGAATCGATTGAAAAATACTTGTCCCATTGAATTAATTTTTTTTGTCCTTATCCAAGTAGAAAGTCAAGAATTTTAAAGCAAAATGCAGCTTATTTTCAAATGACTTTAAACCTAAAAGTCCTGTTTAGTACAGAATATCCTTCTTGTGATATGTTTTTACTACGTGAACCTAATTTTTTATGTCTACCATTTTTTAGGTACTACGACAACGTGGCCATCGCCTCCAGCACCACCAGCACCCGCAAGTCATCGCACTACCACCAGAACAGTTCTCGAAAGAGTCCTGGCAGCAAGGGCAACGCAGTGTCCTACATCTACGAACACAACTCGCTGCGACGGCACAACATGATGCTCAAACAGGACAGTAACCTGTCGCAGCAGATGCTACTCAAGCAGGACTCTCACGGATCCCGTCAGTTCCTCATTAAGCAGGAGAGTTCGTGCAGCGATGCTTCTGGAATCCGACGGCCCCTTTGTCAGCAGGATAGCAATGGCTCCAAGGTGTCCCTCTCCAAGCAGGATTCAATTGTATCCTATATGGAGGCTCGACGAGCGGCGGGCCACAGCCTGAATGATTCAGTGACGGACAGGGACAGCATCTCGATTGAGTCCCGGCGACCTGGAGCTACGCCAAGCTCCTTGCTCGACAAGCGGCAGAAATTCGTGAAGCAGGACTCGGTTATCTCGTTTGTTGATCAGCGACCGGAGCCACGACGCCACCAACTGGTGAAACAGGATTCGGTAATTTCCTTCGCCGACCAGCGACGTGGACTCCTCCACAAACAGGACTCGCTAATTGCCAACCGGACAGGTGACGCCCCCACCCACCACGTCTCCATTCTGAAGAAGACGGACTCGCAGCTCAGCTACGGAGCTTCGGCTTCCCCCCGCAGGAATGCGGATTTATACGAGTAGACAACCATGGGTTGATAAATATTCTCCTGAATGAAGGATCTACTAAGAAATGGTTTGATTTTCGAAAACTATCCAAAGATAATGTAATAGATAGGGCATGCATTCTTAGGGGTATAAATATATGTTTATGTTTCTGTTTTTAAAAATGAAACTTTCATACCCAGAAGGATTATTAGACATCCTTTCTTTGTACTAGGAAGATAAATTGGCATATATATTTCATGAATTATTTTAAAGCTTATGACCTAAAACCCCTTGAATGCATAACCCCTTAAAAATGTAATCGATCTAAAAATCAAACCATTCCAAAACATACAAAACAGCAACGATACCAAAAAATCTTACCGAACCATAAAAAAGTGCATATATATTATATATTTCTATAGTGGCTAGACAGAAAAAGGATCGTAAATGAAGGGAGAGTGATAGGCCTACGATTGTGATACAAGTCGGCAGTGCTGGTGGGTTAAGAACTTCAGACAGTGCCGCACATATCCGTCATGTCATCGTCGTTGGGACAGTGCCAGTTGGGATAGACATCGGGTTGGACCAAATGGGGTGGGTATATATAATCAGAGATCGCTTAGCTAGAAAGAGACACGCCATAGAAGGACACGGGAAACAGGACTACCCACACCACACAACACAAAACCACATAGACACGCCCCACAGACCTAATAGTTAATAGATGTTTTATACGTGTTTCAGAGGTACTACACAAGATATAAACTACTCCTTGGCTATGGCTATATAATACCTATATATAAAATATATATGTACCGTTACGCAGTTTTAAGATTGTTTGTACTCGCAATTTGCTATATCGAAGATGAAGATGGAATGGGAAGTCGTGGGAGGCGGTGGGTTTAAAAATAGCTTTGCTAAACTTTTTGTACGATGGTCAAAAATTGAGTGAAACGGGCAAGTCCAGTATCATATAGTTGAGGAAACGAAACAAAACAAAATGAGATAACACCGAGGTCTAAAGTAACGTACCTACTAAATTTTTGTATGGAAATTCTTACAATTTATACATATATATTTATATTGATTTTGGAATAAGCAATATGCAATACAAGCGTATGTCTGCTCGTACGCCGCGTATCTATCAAACAACAATAATCAATTTTATTAGAATTTTACACAACCGAGTTGCGGCAGCGACAGCGGCAGCGGAAATGGCACAGCAGCGGAAATGGCCTGGTCAATGCAATACAATGGACGATTGTCGATCGATAGTCGATAGCTATCCCGATAGCGATGGCCAGTGGTAGTGTAGGCATCGAACGCGCACAAGGCAGCACTTTTGACCATGCTAATGCTAAGCGAGGGCTGGGAACGATGGAATGGCGTAGAATAGGGATATAGGGACATAGGATTAGGATTAGGTGGAGGAAGAGGAGTAATGTGAGCACAAAGCAGTCAAAGATTTCGCACTAAACGTATCACTACAAACTAACAAAGAAGCAAACAATAATCGAACTCAAATTCGTTAAACACTAAACACCAATGAACTTTAAACTATATGAAGTAAACGTATGGATGATGGATCAAGGAGAATAGGAGGCGAATCAGGAGGAGAAATCAATGGTAAAACTATGAAACTAAACATAAAGATTAACTATGCAATTTTATTGTTAGCCAAAATTTTATAAATGTCAAGTAACGAACAAGTAAATATTTATATGTATACAGAATATATCAAGTATGGAACATATGTTATATGTATAACTTTATATACTTCGATGACATTAGACGCTGATTTGTAGAGTTTTGTCTCGCATGGATGTCCTCGAAATCGGCTCCATGTTTCATTTTAGCCGTAACCCTTAGTCTCCTTTCAGAACTTGGGGGAGCTTTAAGCCCATTCCCAGGATCTAAATCGGCCTGTTCAGAACTCCAGTGCTTAGTGGCAAGACAAGAATCTACAATGAGGAATATCAATAATATATTTCAAATATACATAACATACATATATTTATATAGGCTTAAGCTAACTCATATGCCAGAAAACAAGTCGAGCAACCAGAACAACAACGTCTAGTAAAGATACCAAATACGAGTACACATTTTATGCTGCAAGTATGTAAAAGCGCCCAATAGAAATGTCCTTTCCCGCTTTCGATTCCCCTTTAAGACGAACTAGAAAGTAACGAGCAGTCGGAGGATCAAAACAACAAGTAATATTTATCAAATAAAGCAAATTGAACTTTAGGTTTTAAAGTTTTAAAACGTAGTGCATACCCACATACACACATAATTACATGTGCATTAAGTTCGTTATTTACCGATGCCGAAAACGCATTATAAAAAACAAATCGGAAGTTAACCAGTTAAACAAAAACAAAAACATGACATTAACGGAAACACAATATCTATATATGTAAATATATATGTGTTTATCTATACATATATGTATATTTATCGCATACAAATAACACCAAGAATACATGCATGTTAGCAGAAATAATAAATAAATAACTAATAAACCAAATTTGTAGTTTTTGGGTGTTTAAATTTAGCGGTTGTTAGTTATCGATATACGACTTTGAATAGTTCTGCCATTTCGTATACAAGTATAATGATTTAATATATTTAAGGTCGTTTTTATTATAAAGTGTAGTATGTAATCGATTAAGGCAGCAACTATGATCTTGATCGCATTGGCAGTTCATTATTTACGACCAGAGCTTTTAAATTTGGCGCCAATTTTGTATCGATCTACCGATATTCGATTGCACATCGAAGAAGTAATTATAGCTCAGCTGGATCAGGAAAGTTTATCATTTTCCAATTAGAAATAGTTCTGCTTGGATCTCCCATCATGAATCGCTGGTTAAATCGTGTGGCCGTTGTTACTGGTGCCAGTTCTGGGATCGGAGCTGCCTGCTGTCGAGACCTAGTGTCCAAAGGAATGGTCGTCGTGGGATTAGCTCGTCGGGAGCAGCGTCTCCAGGAGCTTAAGTCTTCCCTGCCCTCCGACCAGGGAGCTCGTTTCCACGCCCGTTCCTGTGACGTCAGCGTGGAGCAACAGATTAATGATGCCTTCGCCTGGATCGACAAGACTTTGGGTGGTGCCGATGTTCTGATCAACAATGCCGGCATTGTTCGACGAATAAATATCACCGATGAGGGAAACTCAGCCGATCTTCGGGCCATAATAGACACCAATGTGCTTGGAGTTAGCTGGTGCACCCGTCAAATGTTCCTTTCGCTGCAGCGCCGGAAGGTGAACGATGGTCATGTCGTGCTGATCAACAGTGTGGTGGGTCACAAGGTGCCTGTGGTGGAGGGATTCAGCCTAAACATGTATGCTCCCTCGAAACATGCCATCACAGCCTTGACTGAGATCCTGCGCCAGGAGTTCATGAACCAAGGATCCAAAACTAAGGTGACGGTGGGTTAACAAAAAATGGATTTGTTAAACTTGTTAATTAGTAATTAGTAAATTTTCCATTTCAGAGTATTAGTCCCGGAGTTGTGAACACAGAAATTTTTGATAAGGGGTCTGTGGAAATACAATTTGGAATGCCAATGCTGCGCTCTGAGGATGTGGCAGATGCGGTTTCATATTGCATCCAAACGCCACCGAACGTTCAGATTCAGGAGCTTACAATCAAGCCGGTGGGAGAGCGATTCTAATGAAGCAGGTGTTTTTTGCGGAATTCGTAAACAAGTAAATATATATTGCCAATAAAAAAAATGAGCAAGCACACCTGCCATTGTATAGCTTAGTAAAGTTAAAAGTAATACAATTTTCTTTAATGAATATTGTTTAGTATGCATATTTATGCAAAGTTTTTAAACTAACATGCTTATAACTATTTTTTTAATTCGTAGAAAATAAAAAATAGGATTTCCAAAATACAAGTAAAAGAGTGTTTAAATTTTGAATAAAACCGATAAAGTTATCGACTATACTGTTAACATAGCGTTAACAGAACAAAATAGGTTCAACAGAAATCCAAGCTAAATGTTACGAAAAAATAGCTAAGTTGGCATAACTGCTTGGGCCTGCCAGCAGTTTCGTAGATTCGTGTCGGGATAGTTTTTTAGTTTATTATTTCATAACTTTGAAACCTCTATTGCTGAATTGGTCAACTTTTCCAAATCGCAACACAAACGAATTATCCATTTTCCACGGTTATCATTGCCGTCGCGTTTCCTTGCCATCAAAAAAAGATAATTGAATTATCCATCTACGCATACACACCCAACAACAACACCCATCAATCGCCTGCGTCATTAGCTATTTTTGTACGGAAAACCAAACCAAAACATGGATCTACTACAGAAGACCGAGGCGGCCGCCACCACAGCATCTTTGCTGGAGGACCAGGCGGACTTGATGGACAGCATGAAGCACTGCTTCGAAAATCTCATTGTTATTGACGTGGGTGCGAATTTGACCAATAAAAAGTATAGCCGTGATCTCGATTCGGTGGTCCAGAGAGCCAGAGATGCAGGTAGGTCCATTATCAATTATTATCTTCGAGAAATACATTTCCAAGTGTCTTTGTTTTGGGGCGAGGCTGAAAACTCAGACAGAAGGTCATGCGACCTGCGACGAGCAACAAGTGTGCAGCTGTTATGCTCGTGTTATGTTATGCCCTAGCATGGAGCATTATAATTACCTACAAAATTTGGCAACGGATTGGAATAAACTTATATTTGTGAAGACCCGAAATGCCAAAATGGACACGCATTATAATCATTTTCACTATAATAATCTTCTATAAAGAAACACTGGCTACTCATTTTACCTAAATATATATATTCAGGCTGATAAGATAGGATTATAGACTCATAAAGTTGTAATGACAATTAAAGGGTATATAAGCTTCGCCTTCATATGAAGATAACTTGCTTTCTTGCTTTCATCTCTGTGTATGTGGCACACTGCAAGTTGCACTCACCACCAACTTTCTCTTCTCATCTCTTCTCCGCCGCAGGTGTTCAAAAACTAATGGTTCACGGCACTTCGGTCAAATCGAGCAAGGAAGCGCTGCGCCTATCGCGCATCTATCCCGACATTATCTACTCGACTGCTGGCATACACCCGCACGACTCAAAGTCCATTGTGGAGGAGCCGGCCACATGGTACGACCTGGAGCACATCGCCCAGGCCCAGGAATGCGTGGCGGTGGGCCCTTGCGGGCTTGACTACCAACGCGACTTCTCCGAACCGGAGGCCCAGAAGCAGATCTTTGCCAAGCAGCTGCAGCTGGCCATCCGGCTCAACAAGCCTTTGCTGATCCACGAGCGTTCGGCTCAACACGATCTTCTCGAAATAATGGATAAGTAAGTGGAGTAATCCAATTTCTATAGTTCCTAACTCGACAACTCTTGCAGATTCGAGAACCTACCGCCTGTGATCATCAGAGGATTCATGGGAACTGCCGAAGAGGCACTAAAGTATCTGGAGCGCAGGTTCTACATCAGCCTGACCGGCTACCTGTGCAAGGATAAATCGGACACGGGCGTTCGCCGCTTGCTGGAGGATGGCACTTTGCCCTTGGATAGACTTTTAGTTGAAACCGATGCTCCGTTTATGTATCCCAATACAAGGGCATCCAAGCTTCCCCAGCATGTGAAAACTGGCATCACCGAACGCTCATTGTTGTACTTACACAGGTGGGAAGAAAAAACCCCGGAACGTTTGCAAGTTGAATGTTATTGAGTATCGATTTCATTCCAGATATTGTACCTTCCAACGTAACGAGCCTTGCAGTCTTCCCGCAATTGTGGAGATGATTGCAGCTTTTATGAAGAAAACGCCCGACGAAGTAGCCCTGGCCACTGCCTTTAACGCTTTGAAGCTTTTTGGCTTGTCCTAAATAGATGGTGCCCCCAAAGGAACTAATTAACGAAGTGTGCCAACCAGCAGCTTTACACATATAAAACTAAATAAGCCTGAGATTCACGATAGACTCATACCTATGTGCCTTAAACAATAATCGAATTCGGGATGAAGCGCAAGTCCTGATATTACCCATACACACACACACAACACACACTCATACATACATAATTACGAACCTTATTGCATGCGAAACGTACGTATACGTATACCCATATCCTATATTCTCCCCCACTCCCAAAAAATATGCAAATTATCGATCGAAATTTGCATGCCGTAGATTTAAGTTGTTGGAATTTCCTAAGCAATTGCTTTATTTACTCGATTTCCCACGAGAAACGGTGCCAAGGCGGTGCCAAGTGAGGAACGGACCCGGGGAGCAAATAATTTGCACTCGGTCGGAACTTCACGCCTCGAAGCGCGCGCTTCGAAGTCGCTTCCGAAGCGATGCCTACATATATGTTAAGTGCTGCAGCTTGTCTTCTGTTTGTTTCTTCTATATGTATATTTAAGATATACCCTTTAATTTTAGTTTGTGTCTCTTGTTAGCCTGTAGTCATATTTTTGTAAATATTTATTCTTGTTGTTCTGATGATGATACGATTATGATGATGATGATTATGGGAAACGTAATGTGATCATTTTAAAATCTAAATATTTATATGATATTCAACATATACAAACACATTAGTTAGGCTATGAAAACATATTGAGTATCGTGCGCGTATAAACGCATTTTGTTATATTTACTTATACAAAAGCTTTGTACTGAACTGATCGCCTAACGGAGGTTGCATGAATCCATGAAATCCACTTTGTGCCCATTGTCGCACACAGACACTTACTATTTTCCATTTGAATAAAGCGAATTTAAAAACCAGATGTGTTTAACTTTAACGGGTCGTCATAAATGTATTTCTTTCATTTTCAGTTTCGGTTTTTGTTTTTTGGTTCGTTAGCACATTTAAAAGCGTTGAATGTTTTTCAAGTCCTCAAACTGCTCCAGCCTATTCAAATTGTCCCACCACAGCTTGAGGCGGTGATGCAGTATGAGGGAAAACCACGGAGTCAGGGGGGCGCTGAACTTTGCCACCGCCTCGTCAATCTTATCGCGGCGCAGGAAACGCACCTCGCTCACCTCGTTGCTGTTGGGATTCAGAGTCACGTCCTTCTGCAAAAAGAGTATGTAGTCGATCTCGTGTTCGCCCCACACGCCGTCCCCCGTGTCGGCGTAGTGAATGCGGGTGAGGTAACGGAAGTCCTCGGGACGAAGCTCCTCAGTGGGTATGCCCAGTTCATAGTTGAGACGACGCTGTGCTGCCAGGCGGATTCCCATGGCATTGTTTTCATCGCGTTCTTGCTCAATCTCATGGAGCGGATGACTGCAGCAGGCATTGGTGTAGGTATTCGGGAAAGTTATCTAGGCAATCAGATAGGTTACTACCTATAGGACATTCAATTATAAATGTTCATCTCACCTTGTGCGAAGACCGCTTTTGCACCAGCATCTCGCCTTTAGAATTAAACAGAAAGACGCTGAAGGCCCGATGTAATCTAACATCCTTAGTTTTTGGGTCTACTCGATGGCAGTCGGCCTTGGAGGCCGAGCCGATGGCTTTATCGTCCTTATCTACTAGGATGCATTGCTCCTTGAGGGCGTGAGCCTGGAGAGGATCGTGCACGGATTCCACAGGCACCTGGCGCTGCTGCTGCTGGTCCACCGCTGTAGTGGAGCAGTTGCGAAGGGCGAAAGTGTTCCGGAGCGTGGAGAGATTCCAGTTACAGCGCAGGGCCAGCATTTTTGGTAAATGACTAGTTTCGTATGTGGCCAAAACAAATACAAAAGTGAAACTTCATAGTGCCGAGCTGCCAACCTTGTTCTATTTTAGTCAAGGAACTTGCAACACTGGTCGTGGAACAGCTGATTGGCTGCAGCGGTATCCCTGGCAATAGTGATACACAATTTGCTCATAATCAGTTTTTCGCTTCCGTTTCAGAACGATAAAATTGTAAATAGCCCGAAAGCTGCCCAAGTAAAGAGTAAAAAAATGGTGGGTTTGTACCAAACTTTTTGTGAGAAACCAAGTAAAATGATTTGATTCCCCAGATACGATTTATACTGATACAAAACCGCGCTGGCAAAACTCGCCTGGCGAAATGGTACATGAACTTCGATGACGACGAGAAACAGAAACTTATTGAGGAGGTGCATGCTGTGGTCACTGTGAGGGACGCCAAGCACACCAATTTCGTAGAGGTTGTATAGCGTTAGAAATCAGTAGAGCCCCGATTTAAACATTATCCCCACCCACAGTTCCGAAACTTCAAGATCGTATACCGAAGGTATGCGGGCCTGTATTTCTGCATCTGTGTGGACGTAAACGACAATAATCTGTGCTATCTGGAGGCGATCCACAACTTCGTCGAGGTGCTAAACGAATACTTCCATAACGTTTGTGAGCTGGACCTCGTCTTCAATTTCTACAAGGTGTACAGTGTAGTGGACGAGATGTTCCTGGCAGGCGAGATACGAGAAACCTCTCAGACAAAGGTGCTCAAGCAGCTCCTGACGCTAAATTCACTGGAATAAGGGGGGGCCAAAGCCCCAAGGATCGCCAGATGCATTCCCCTAGCCGCTTATCGAATCTTCTTTCATATACTATTACGCGTATTATTATTATTATCTATAATGTGTTCTTTATGCAAGCAAAAACTCAAATGTTAAATACCGTGTTTAGAAACAAATGATGTACCATAAGAGATTGTATGCAAGTGCAAAATATGTTTTCATTTGGCTTTATTGGGGGTGTTGGGGGTCAGAGAGTATTTTTTTTATAGGTTCCGCCCACTCACCGTCGATGGTCAGTGGTTAATGGAGCCCTGGTTGCTTGTAGCATTTTCCAACACTGCCGCGCTCTAATGCCACTTCGTCATTTTTTCAGTCGCCATTGTTCTCGTTCTCGGCCGTCGAATTTGTGAAAATAATCACATTTCCCTTAAAATTCGCTGCAATAAATACAAAAGCGAGTTATTAAAATACAACACAAAACAAGTGCAAACGCAGTGCGTGACAGATTGAAGCGCAAGTCGAGCAAAAACGGTGACAACAGCAGTCAGTGTGAAAACCAGGGGCAAAAATCGAATATTTGTTCGTGGCAACTACATATTCTTGTGAAAAGGCCAGAAAATGTCATCTGTGAATCCGGAATAGTAAGTCGTCATCTGCAGCAATTGCGCATAATTTGGATCTTGCCCTTTTCTGGATTTCGCATTGGAATACATCACATCTCTCGTTCGATAATCAGTTTTCTTTTCTGCGACGTCATTTTTGCTACGTTTCCATTCCATTCATCGGCCACCAGCCCCCACGCCACTCCCCTACACCTAGCTGCTGGCTTTGTTTAGCGCTGGCATTGGCAACTTCAAAAAGGAACACACAACCGCCCTAAACTAGAATTAAAAATACGATTTTTGCATTTCAAGAGCCATTAATGTTCCTAAGATGGCATACATACACACTCCACTCATACTTAGCTGATAAATCTTTGTACAGAGCTGAAATTTTAATTGTTGCTGCTCTAGCTGGCGTCGGACTCTGGATTCGGCCAGTACATCCAATCTAACTAGATCCCAGCCCCCTGAGAACAGAGCGAGTGCTATGTAGCTGGGCGGATGAGTCACCTGCGTGGAGCGTTGTCGCCCACCCCCTGTACTTTCCCTTTGTTGTTGTTTCTTAACGACTGCTACGTAATCAAAACCTAGTTTTCCTTAATTGAACTTGAGGCAATTGATTCGTTGATTCTCCAGACTTTCCTTCGATCACATCACACGCAACTTTATCAAATACTTCGCCCCATCAGCCACCAAAATAAAAAAGAATAAATTGGGGGTTGATGTGCGGACAAGTCCGATAAGATAAACCCCCAGAGTAACCGGTTTTATGTATAGCCCTCATGCATATTTACATACTAAATGTGTGGTGTTCTCTCTCTATGCTCCACAGCGATTATCTCTTTAAACTGTTGCTGATTGGCGATTCGGGCGTTGGAAAGTCCTGTCTGCTGCTGCGATTTGCCGATGACACATATACAGAGAGCTATATCAGCACAATCGGAGTAGACTTCGTAAGTTGGCCAACAAGTTGCGAAAACCATTCACCTGTGACTCACGGAAACTTTTATCTTGCAGAAAATTAGGACTATAGAACTGGACGGGAAAACCATTAAGCTGCAAATCGTAAGACAAAGCCCATGAGCCAATCTAGGATCTATGTATGCTAATTGTACTTTTTATAGTGGGATACTGCTGGCCAGGAGCGCTTCCGTACCATCACGTCTTCATACTATCGAGGTGCTCACGGCATCATCGTCGTCTACGACTGCACGGACCAGGAGTCCTTCAACAATGTGAAGCAGTGGCTGGAGGAAATCGAGAGGTACGCTTGCGAGAACGTCAACAAGCTGCTTGTGGGCAACAAGAGCGATTTGACCACCAAGAAAGTCGTCGATCATACCACAGCTGCGGTAAGTCAAAGCTCATTTTTAATTCCTTGATGGATATACTGAAATAACTTGGTTCGTTTTTTGGATTTGTAGGAGTATGCTGCTCAGTTAGGCATTCCATTCCTTGAAACTTCGGCCAAGAGTGCCACAAACGTGGAGCAGGCCTTCATGACGATGGCGGCCGAGATCAAGAATCGCGTCGGGCCACCGTCCAGCGCCACCGACAACGCTAGCAAAGTGAAAATCGATCAAGGACGTCCAGTGGAAAACACCAGATCCGGTTGCTGCTGAATAACTCTGATTGTGAATCATTATTTTATTATAAAATTAAACAAAATTTAAATATAATAAATTAAAACGGAAACCACAATAATAGTGAAACAAAAACAAAAAATGGCGAGACCACAAAATCGTAATTATAATACCTAATTCAGTAATAACAATAATGAATGAAGAGTAGTGCGTTTGTATGATCCTAACCGTGATCCGATTCGATTAACACATTAAGCAAAAATGTAATAGCCGACAATGTGGCCGACAAAATTCAGACTCCAGATAACCTCCAGAATACACATTCACACAAACCAAACAAATCGTACACACTAGCCGCATGACTAGCAGGATACTGATACTAACCGTCTTTCTGATTTCAGCAGTTCTGTTCATAAGTAGTGCAAAGCAAGCAAACAAACGGTGTAGCAATTAAATTAATATTAAATCTAACCTACAGTAAGAGTTACTTATCACAGCAGCGCGAAACAATACGATATGTATGTACTATTAATACAAAACTGCATCGCATTAACTGAACGGAGTCGAAGTCGATGGCAACGGCTAGCGAGAGCAATTATATTGTACTGTGTCAGCTACTACTTACAACTATGTATACATATGTATGTGTTTAAATTACAAATACAATTTTCTAAACATATTATCTCTAGCGAATGTGCTCGCCACTTGTCTCTGTCATATGAAATTTTATGTAAATCGAAGGAAACCAAAACCGAACGAACATTTTTAGAATCCGATTGTGTGTTTGTATTTTCGTGTGACGTAAGGGATTTGTTTAGGCACATAATTAGTGTAATAATGACGACATAGCGAGATGAAGTTTAATAAAAATTATTGCGTGAGCGTAAATCAATTGAACGATTTGGGAACAATGGACACAAGTATACAATTTAGTTTCGGTTTTCACTGTCGCCCGAATTTGACTCTCCCCCCATCCCATTCGCTTAAGTTAAATAAATCCAATCTGTACCGAAGCCTCCAAACGGTTTGTTTTATTTCCTTACCTTTTTGGACCGAATCCAAAGACAAAAGTGAAGGCCGGAACACATCTGCACATACCCAAAAAACACTTTTGGCACACACTAAACGGAGGGATATTTGTAATTTGGCAAAAATAGAACATATACCTAGGTCTTATAACAAGTATTTCGCATATTCCTCGTGTCATATCATATTTATAGGATAGAACATCATCATAATTATCAGCTTTGGTTGTATTATATTTTGGTCAGTTTAAGTTGCTTTATCGTTTAACTTTTATTGGTTTCAAAAACATTTTGTCTAGCTTTTATTGACTTCTTCTGAGGTACTTCAGTCTTTACAACATAATTTCTTCTAAATCTATGACTATTTGCTGTTGGAATTTAACTAAATACTTGAACGGTAGCAGTGGCAGTGATGGCTCGGGATGGATTCAAATCTTGCTGGCGCGTCGCTCCTGCAAGCAGGCGGTGGTCACTGTGGCAGCTGTCGTCCCAATGATGGCAGCTCCCAGGATGCCTCGCTCCCGCTCGCTCAGACCGGATACCGACAGGCTGTTGCTGCGCCATGCCGACGAGGAGGTGGTGCGATCCGTGCCCGACGACGTGGATATGGAGTTGATCAGGAAGGTTGCCTCGCGCCGGAGAGTGCGGCGAGGATGACGGGTGCCAGTAGTTCCCGCCAGAGTGGCTCCCTCCTCGGCATCCTGTTCTTGCCTGCGGGATGCAGTGCGACCACTGCCTCCTGCTGTGGGATTTTGCCTCTGGTGGTGATGATGTCGGTGGTGGTGGTGAGGCCTCTGGCCCAGGCATGAGAGCAACAGCCGCCAGAAGCCACTCCTGAACTTCGAGGACATCAGGTTGTAGAGAATGGGATTCATAGCCGAGTTTAGGTAGAGCATAAACCGAGAAAAGTACAAAAGATTGTAGTAGCCATCGATGCCCAGGCTCTCGACGTCGTCAGCACTGGCCAGGATCACCCAAAGCGTGAAGGCCCGGAAGGGCAACAGGCACACGAAGAAGCTGGACACCACCGCCACCAGCATGAAGATGACCTGCTTGCGGTGCTTGCGCATCCCATTGCTCTGCTGGTGACTGTTGCCCTTGGAGCTCGGTGCCTGGGCGGTGGCGTTCGTCTGCGGCTGCGGGGATGTGGGGCGATGGAAGGCATTGTTCGGACGCAGCAGCTTGTAGGCAATGGCTGCATAGAGGAGCAGCAGTATCCCAAAGGGAAGGAAGAAAAACACTGTTATGCTGCCCACAAAATACAGGATCGTCCAGAAACTATCGGCGGCGGTGGTGCAGACGGGGGCGTCGGTTCCGTCGCCATAGGGCTCCACACTGTAGCTGGATATGGCGATGATGGGACTGCAAGAGTTATATAATTCATATTAGATTAAATTGGGCGAAGGGTCTGGCCTTCGGGGCTGCTGATTGTTGTCTGCAAAGTTTTGAAACACGCTTCGAGCGGGAAACAAACAAATATTTAAAAGCTACTCAAGTACTGAAAACTTTCGGGACGAAGCACTCAATTTAATCAGGGAGCGGAAACGGAAACGGCAGCGTCTGCTCATACACATCATCGCAGTCGCATTAGTGTGGGAGGTTCTATCTACTTTATTATTATTATATATATGTTTTTGGTAAGGGGAGCTGGGTAAGAAAATCTACGTCATATTGCTACTACTAAGGCTACGAAAACAAATTAAAAAGCTACGCATGTACGGTACGACTAAGTATATATTTACAGGGGCTTGGCAGTTGTTCGATTTCCTTTGAATTATATAAATTATAGTACTGCTGGTTGGTGGGGGGAATGTTTGAAAATAGCCGACTTCTTTGACCCGTCATGAGTTGTCATAAAAAATTTATTTACTTACAAACTGGTTGTTCTTCTTTCGTGTAAGTGTGTGCGATGTGTGTTTGTATTTTGTATTTATAAGCATTGCGTTTATGTATATATATAAATATGTAGGTATGTATAAATATATTAATATAAATATTTACGTATGTTCTTTGTATTTGTGTGTGTGTGTGTGCATGGATTGTATGTACAACTGTGTTTACATGTGCATATTGAGCTAAGCTTTTTATTCGACCTGCCACAAAGTAGGCAACAGTTTTTTCTATCCGGAGTCCGGACCATCCGGTGATGGCCGCTCGTGTAATAATGGCGGCCATTTTGATAGGCCAGGGCGCCGGCTTAAGGAAACTATTTCAATACACCTAAATCATGTTTATCCGCCTCTTTGATGGGGTTCCCGGCCGCATACGCATATTAAGCCATTTCCATTTGCCGTGCCTCCGTGCCGTTTCCTACGCCGTTTAATGGCTTCCAGGCCCACAAGCCCACTATCAATTTTTATCCGAAACTCTGACCAATCTATGGGTCTAGTTGTAGTTGTAGTGCTATTCAGCTGTCGTTGCTGTTATTTATCTTTGGCACATTCATTCGAGTTTAATAGCCCGAAAAATTGATTGTTTTTTGTTCGGAAATGTCCAAGGATCCGGAGTCCGGGCTCTAACTCCGACTTGGTGAGCTGTCAACGGTTGACTGAAATCGATTATGCTTGCGTTTAGGATGCGGGGATTTGTCAGGATGCCAGGATCAACCATCAACACATTCCAGCCAAGTGAAGCGAGTGTGTAAACGGGTTACAGGCGATTTTTCACGCTTTCCCCGTCAGGCCGGATTTTCTCCTGAGGATTTTAGTTTCTCTTCATCAACGGCTATATATTTCCCCTCTAGCGCCTCCTCATCGAAACTGATTTGCGGCTTCTGGCGTCGCGGTTGTGGTTTCCTTAGACCCATTAGATGTGTATCGCTTTGTCTTCGAGCCATCTTCTTTCCCAGCGCCGAGTGCTGCAACATGGCCATGGCCTCCAGATCGCTGCCAAAAGGCATTTGCATCTCGATCTTGAGGCGGGTGCGACTGATGTCCTCGCTGCAGCGTCGATTGGAGCTTCTCGAAAGGATGCTAGAACTTGTAGCTGCAGTGGCATTGGAAGAATTGGTATTGGTGTTAGTATTCGTTCCCAATCCCAGCGATAGCGTGCCACTCCGACCGCGGACGGAAACCTCCTTGCGTCCAAAGGTAACCAATTCAAGGATTAATCTTCCAGCATCCTGGCAAAGCCTTCCGAATCCCCGCCTAAACTTCGTCGACATCAGGTTGTAGAGGATGGGGTTCATGGCCGAGTTGAGGTATAACATAATCCGGCAAAAGTACAGGAGGCTGTAGTAGCGCACCAAACCGAGGTCATGGAGCGTCTGGTCCGAGCTCAGGATGATCCAGAGGGTGAGTACCCTAAATGGCAGCAGGCAGACGAAGAAGGACAGCACCACGGCGCCGAGCATCAGGACCACCTGCTTGCGGGCCCTCAGACTGAGCTCCGGCTTCGTTGGCCGGGCCCGCAGCATGGCGCCCCGGTTGGAGACGAGGTTCTTGGCTATGATGCCGTACAGCACCACCAGGGTCACAAAGGGCAGGACGAAGAATACGGAGATGGTCATCAGGAAGAAGGCGACCGTCCAGTCGGTGATGGCCTGGGTGAGGCAGACGGCCACCGAGGATCCGTCAATGTACTCGGCCAGCTTGTACTCGGCCACCCACAGAATAGGGCTGCACGGGGGTCGAAGTGGGGAGAAAGAGCAAACGAGAACGTAATCAGGTGGCGGGGTCAGCGGGGAGTGGATAATGGATATCGGATATTGGATACTGATTACTGGATGAGGGTGGTGGAAAGCGCCCAGAGGGGCAGGAAGAGAGAAAGTGAAGGTAGAATAGAGGTACAGGAGAAAGCGCAGAAAATGGCGGTGAAGCAATGGCGATGAACGCGTTTTTGTGCGTTTTTGTGGATTTTTGAATGGGGTCCTCCAGAAAAATGGACAAAAATTCTAAAAAAAATCATGTGCTCAGATTTTGATGCAGATTAACGGAGAATCGAATTACAAATCATTTAAGGTATTCCTCTCAAGAATCGGATAGTTTTTGCCAAAGATATAGCATTCGCAAGAGGCCATTTACCGCGTTTTTGAGGATTTTTGAAGGGGGTCCTCCAGAAAAATGGACAAAAATTCTAAAAAAAATCATGTGCTCAGATTTTGATGCAGATTAACGGAGAATTGAATTACAAATCGTTTAAGGTATTCCGCTCAAGAATCGGATGGTTTTTGCCAAAGATATAGCATTTGCAAGAGGCCATTTATTGCCTCAACGCGTTTTTGAGGATTTTTGAAGGGGGTCCTCCAGAAAAATGGACAAAAATTCTAAAAAAATCATGTGCTCAGATTTTGATGCAGATTAACGGAGAATCGAATTACAAATCGTTTAAGGTATTCCGCTCAAGAATCGGATGGTTTTTGCCAAAGATATAGCATTTGCAAGAGGCCATTTACTGCCTTTACGCGTTTTTGAAGATTTTTGAAGGGGGTCCTCCAGAAAAATGGACAAAACTTCTAAAAAAAATTAGGTGCTCAGATTTTGATGCAGATTAACGGAGAATAGAATTACAAATCGTTTAAGGTATTCCTCTCAAGAATCGGATAGTTTTTGCCAAAGATATAGCATTCGCAAGAGGCCATATACTGCCTCTAGGCGTTTTTGAGAATTTTTGAAGGGGGTCCTCCAGAAAAATGGACAAAAATTCTAAAAAATATAAGGTGCTCAGATTTTGATGCAGATTAGCGGAAAATCGAATTACAAATCGTTTAAGGTACTCCTCTCAAGAATCTGATAGTTTTTGCCAAAGATATAGCATTCGCAAGAGGCCATATACTGCCTCTAGGCGTTTTTGAGAATTTTTTAAGGGGGTCCTCCAGAAAAATGGACAAAAATTATTAAAAAAATTAGGTGCTCAGATTTTGATGCAGATTAACGGAGAATCGAATTACAAATCGTTTAAGGTATTCCGCTCAAGAATCGGATAGTTTTTGCCAAAGATACATATATCAATAGTTAGATGCCACATAGTATAGGTGGATTTATTTAAGGAGTCCTCCAAAAACAATTTCAAAAATATTGTCCATCTCTTCTATACAATTTTTTTTTATTTAAATTGATAAATGAACTAATGATGGTGGTGGATTATTAGATAACCGTTCATGTTATTGAAAGAGTATCAATTTCCAAAAAAAAAAAAAAAAATGTGGTATGTCAACAAGTTTAAATGTTGGCTTATTGTGAGTAACCCGAAACGCTGATTAAACATTTCGCTTACAACAAGGACCAGACAAAAAGATATGACAGGCAACAGGCGGTGGCCATTTTTTGCGTTTTCGCCTTTGATCCGAGCGTGTTGGACGTGCGTCAGCGATTTGCCCCGCCCCCTGGTCCGTGGCTTGCCCTTGGGCGTCGTGAATGTGTTTTAAAATGTTTGCCCGCCTCCGATGGCCTCGGACTACATACTTCTTGCGAGGCGTAATTAATGGGTCTAGGGCCGGGAGGCATACTTCTGGCCGGGACCCGTCACGAACCCAGGGACCCCCCAAAATGAGAGGTCAGTGTCCGGCTCAACAATGTGCTGTTTATTTCATTGTTATGGACGCGGCAAGATTTGCAAAATTAAAAAGGGTCGCCGGTCGCCGGTCGCCGGTCGGCCTTCGACATGGCCATGGACAGACAATAATAAAGTGTCAATGAAACGAAATCCATGATAGCGGACATCGGTGCTTATTAAAGATGACAGGGCGCTGATAACGGAGCAGGAACTGGAAAAGGCCAGCTCGGCCAATGGACAAAAGCCGGCAGGAGGATGTCAATGGGATACACGGATGTGGATGTGAATGAGGCGAGTGAAGGAAGCGGAGAAATGGAAATAGATAGGGACAGTGGCAGTTTAGCATGTAAATGGACACGCCGCTGCTAAACAAAAGACCAAACACCAATACCAGATACCAGAGAAATCTCCAATATAATAGAAAGTAAGCAGAAAGGACAAAAAAATGAATATTATATAAACAAAATGCGGGAAACCCAAAAACAAAACACAAATCATTAAAATGACGATTGACACTTATAATTAATGAGCAAGGAACTGAATGCTTGGCTGCCCCAAAATGAATAAATAGGCCATAAACTAGATCTAACCAGGATAATACAGCGATACCAACACCAGGAAGCATGCAATGAAATCACTTGACTAAGTACAGTTTCAGAAATAATAATGCTAATATTTAATTAAATTCGCTACAAAGAATAAACGGAGGAGGGGAAGTAGCACTGTTGGGGGGTCAGTGCACTGTCTCCAGATGGAACCGGAATGCTTACCTCGTAAAGAGAGCAGCGATGCCCCAGGCCAGGACGCAGATGAGGATGGCCCGCCCCTTGGTGCAGACGTAGCCGGCCTTTAATGGCTCGCAGATTGCGTAATAGCGCTCAAACGAGATGGCCAGAATGGTCAGGACACTGGCGTGGGCCACCGTCAGCTCCACGAACGGCACGGCCTTGCCTGGAAGCCAGAAATCAGTTAATTAGGTCGGGGAAAATAAACAGACGAGCACTCTCTGGACGGAGTGCTGATGGTTGGCAAGGGAAGTATGGTAGCCATCCCGCCACTTACACATCTCATGGCCCAGTACCCAGGTCTCTGGCCGGGTGTTAACCTCCACGAGGACGGTGGGCGTGCAGACGAGAAGTACCAGCAGGTCGGCAATGCTCAGATTGGTGAGGAAGATGTTCGTGGAGTTGCGCATATCCTTCGTCTTCACAATCACGATGGGCACCTGCGAAAGGACTCGATTTCAATTGATGACTGTCAAAAGAGCAAATAGTCCTGCAAGAGTGTTGCTTTTGAAATGGCAACTATTGGAGGAAAAGGACCAGTACCAGTATCTTTTCAATTGATTCTATTTTGTGTTTGGATTATTCTTTTTAAACGTTTCTGGTGAAAGTAGCCATTTTTAACTGAAAAGTAGACTACACTTCTAGGAGCTTATCACTCATACGCAGTGGTGTACCCTTTTTTAACTGAAATACTTTAGGAATAGATTAGTTCGACTCACCATTACATTACCCACCACTCCCAGCAGCATTATGACTATGCAGAAGAACATGGCGGTTGTGCGGATATACGGCGGAATTTGTGGCAGCATCTGCTCAGCATCATCGGCATTGTCCTGGGCTGTAGATGTTTCTGTTGTTGCTGCAGATGCGGCGACAACTTCTGTGGAGACTGTGACGAGTGATGTTGCGGCTGTTGCGGCTGTGAAGTTCCCGTGGGCTGGAACACTATGAGCTGGGTGGTGTGGGCCATGGCCGCCACTAGGAGCGCCACGGGATAGCCCAGCGTGCTCCGACGACGTGTTTGCAGATGGACCGGCGGGGAGGGCATCTTGGGCGCGCAGTAGAAGCACGGGCAGCACCAGGAGCAGCAGCAGCAGCCAGATCCTGGAGCCTGGGCCTACGCCAATGTCGGTCAGCCGTGGGAGCTGGAACTGGAGCTGGAGCCGGAGCTGCCCAATCCTGGCCACAGCGGCGACGCCGTGGCTGCCCCTCGGCAATTTCGGTCTCGTCGTCCTGCGGCAATCGGAATGTATATCGCGCAATGGCCAATCACAGGGGCCACATCACGTCCGAAATCCGTTTGAGGGATTTGCAGCCGCCACCAACCACCCGTTGTTCAATTAAGTGGGTTACGCAGGATGGATGTTCGTTTTGGGGGTGAGGTGTTTAGACCCAATCCTTTGTAATTGCCCGTCGGCAACACTTAAATACGCGCTAATGAAATTAGGTTGTCCTGCGTCTGGCCTCTGGGATCCGGCCGCATTAAACAAATCAATCAGTGGGGCTTTGCGGTTGTCGTCCTCCTCGTCGGCGTTGGCGTCGGCGTCTTCCACTGCCTCAAGTGCCTGAAATGGCAAAGGGATTAGCATTTAAGTGTCCGGCCCCGGGATCAGGATCAGGAAATAACCGGCCATTGACCAGGCTGGCTAACTAACGATAATGAATGAAAAGTTCATTAGGTACTGTCATTTACATAACATTAGAGCATCCGGCCATCCCTCCAGTAGGGCTCCAATCCGCCATAAACAAGCTCATCATCCCACCCCAGAGGCCACTTGACCAGGCGGCCACCCTTCCGGAACAGAAAGGACAGTGGCATGGCAGGGTTTTAATAGCAAGCGGGGTGCTTAAGGGTTTTCTTTAAAAGAAATCATCACATATACTAGTGAGTTGGCAACTACATATATCCAAAATATATTAAATTATTTAAATTAATAAGCCCCAACATTGTTATTTTGAATTCCAAAATGAGGTCTTTTGACTTCTGACTGGCACATGCTGTCTAAGCTTATAAGAACTACACTTATTTCTGTCCTTTTCAAGCCATTTTTCCAACTGATGCTCTATTATTATTAACCGAAAATCGTTTGAGCGCAATCCTTAAGCCATTGTCATCATCGGTCGACAATGGTGCTTTCTCCAAATGTTTGTGTTTACCCCCAAAAACGCCGCTTCTGACTTCGGTTGTTTGGTCTCAATCTCGGGTGGCACTGTCGACGGTCGACCGGCAGACGGCGATTATCACTGCTGAGTCCTGCTGAACGGAGGTCCTGGCGTCTGCTGCGCATCTCCATCCTTGTCAGCCAAATGGCTTTATTAAATCCCCATCTTTTGCGGCGCTCGAGCAGCTTAATTATATTATGCTCATACAGGACACTCCGATGGTTACGGCTCCTATGTGTATTTGTGTGTCTAAATGGCCTTTAGGATGAGGAGCGGGTGCGAAGGATCTTTGTATAGCGCTATTTTGATTAATTTGATAAATTCATTATGCGCACACCATATTGGCCAGTTCCTGGAGTGTGTTCCTGTCCGGATGCTTCTGTTTCGTCCTCCTTTTTTTCCTCCTCCTGGCAAGCTGTGCACTTTGTTTGCTGTCCCGAAGTCCTGCTCGAAAGTTTTCCGATGGGGTTGTGGGTTCAATGTCCCCAAAATGACATAACAAGGCAGTTTGTGTCACATTTGGCTCAAAAAATGCGATTTTAACGATGCTGAACTGGTCTATTGGCCATCCTGCCGGGCCTAATTGTTTCAAAAGTTTTGAGTTGGTCGTGTAGAAGGACAAATGAATCGTTTCGAACTTTGGTTAGTCGTCGGGAGCTGTGGTCATGGCCGAAACATACTCGTACGGCCAACAACTGACGCCACAAACATGCGAAGCCTGCATGTAAATCTGAAAACGGTTTATGGTTACGGCCGGAATCCCAACTGCTCGAGTGTTTTGCGGCTATTTGACGGATAACTTGTGGCCTGTCTGTGTGTGGGCGTGGGCGTGAGCTCGGAAACGGATATATTACTTTCCCATATACAGTGCTGGTCAAAATAATATAGCCAAGTAAAGTATTCACCAAACTTTAAGTTAAGAATGTATAGGATGTTTTCGCTATAAGCTTATCTTATAAACTGACCACTAACCTTTAAGCAAACCCCACCTATAATCCCTTGTAGATTATAAAGAAAATAAAAAGGAACATCTTATATGGTCCTTCGAGTCACGTTCTGTTCTATTTTTCTGACCGTACAAGTACACAACAATTTGGTATAATTTTTTCGGCCGAGATTTGAATAAGGTTCAAAGTTGCTGGCTGTAATGGAAATTGAGATCCTTGCATCCCAAAAAATATGGGATGTGTGTGTGCGGGAGTGAGTGTGCGGGGGGCCGAGTGGATTTTCTTGTTTGCCGTGTGTGAGCTAGTGTAACGCTTTTTATGGTATTTAAGATTGAACGGAATTTATTGCTGACACCCTAATAAAATTAACATTGAAATGGCAATTTGAGGCGGCAATAAGAATCAGCAGCAGCAATAGCGGCGGGAAATTTCAGAGCAAGTTGTCACACCCCAGAGGCACACACGCATATCTAATCAATTTATCGTTCAATAATAGTCCAGGGCACTGGATACATTGTATATACAAATGGCTGAATATCCAGAGAATACCCACATGTGTGTGTAGAGTGTGTGTCTTAGCAGCCACTTTGACAAATCGCTAAGCGTGAAAAAATGAAACCCCTGGATGGCTGCTACAAAAAATTAAAGCCCCAAGCCGATAAATTGATTTCTAGAGGAATTTTGCAAAGCATCAGTTTCAGATCCTTTCACCAAGAACACATTTGTTTCCCCCCAAAGCAACCGCATCCTGTGGCCGTTTTTTCTGTTTTGCCTGAGGGTGCCACTCGCTAAATAAATTGAAATGACTTCGTAATTGTATTTGCGACTCTGGCTAAATTAATCTAACTAGTTCGCATGCCGTCGCAGCGCTCGTGTGGAACCAATAGCGGCAAAAACATCCCGAACACCCAGAAAAGTCGACCGAACAAAGGCGCCATAAAACCAAAAGCTTGTTTTTCAATTGTTTCCCAACCCAGTGGCCGGCCGAGGGCACTGATGGCGGTGAGGGTGGAAAATTGCTTTCGTTTTTGTGGGGAAACCCTCGAAATCCAAATTGACATGTCGATGGTCATGTCCCACGGTCATGTCCCTTTAATTGACCATTGAATGGCAATTAAGGCTAAAGTCGCAGCTATTTTTGGGTTTAAGTAGAAGAGTAAGTATTGGCTTTGGCTTCTGTAAGCCCTCGAAAGAGCTCTAATAGTAAGTACATCAATAAGAAAATATTTGGATAAGAAATGTAATGAAATAGTACTTGCTTCTTCTTCCTGTAATTCAAAGTTAAATGAAAAGAATTTAAATTAAAAACCCTGAATGATCTGGCATTCTATTTTGCAATTAGAGTTTCATGCCTCGGATTCCATTGAGGCCCAGTTCCTGGGCAAGTTTTAGCCACCGTTCGGCTCCAATAATCCTCCCTGGTGGAAGTCAAGGATGTTTGCCCTGCCAGCAGCTTTAACTCCTTTGTCCTGGACGTCCGTTACACTTATTTATGCGACTGCGACGAGCCACTCCGCCTGTTTGTTACAGTAACTGCCACTGTTTGTCTGTCTCTGGGTTTGTTTTTGTTTGTTTGCTCGTAATAAGAAAGGCAACGTTCAAACAATGGCCAGAGATCTGTACTCTTTCACATACATTTCAGCAGCAGTTGCCTGTCTGTAGGTATGTATGTATGTACACAGTTGGATGGGCTGGTCGTTCAACTAATGTTTTTCCAAAAGCTGGAATTCTTTATCTGGCAGCGAGAATGTGGACGCTGTTTTAAACGCTCATACGCCCCGTTGGCCAGCCTTCTTCGCCTTCTCTAACGCCTGATGAATGTAATTTTATATTTCTCCTTGAAGAGCTTGTTGCTGCAAGAGTTTTTTTTTGGTTTTGGTTTTGGGAGAACCCGTCGTGGCATCGATAAGCCATTGGCCCGGGAAGGCGTTTTATCGCCGAACGGGACGGTACCCGGGACGGTTCTCTGAAAGATGCGACTGCCCACGGACTCTGGCATCGCCGCAAGCCGGGAAACTCTGCAGCTGCTGTCTCTATGGATAAGTATGTACATATATGTATGTATACTCACAGCGTCTACAGTTTGTTTGTCTATTTGCCAGCTATGGGAATTCATACAGAACACAACCGTCGAAGGGCCATATAGCACAGATAGCGCAAGCTATTGTTTTACGATTTCAGATATTTTGTAAATAGTGGAAATTTTATAAAGGTTTAACTAGACTTAAAGATACTCTTTGTGGTATTTTTGGAAATGGAAACTAAACAAATAGGTATGGGATAGAGTATCATAACGTATTATGATCATATTAGGATAGAAGAATAGGAATCACAGTCTTAAACAAACCATATCAAGAAATACACATTTTTATATACCCGTTCTTGAAGTCATATGTATATCCTTTTATTTAATAAAATAAAACCTAGTCTCTAATCAAATATTCTCCTTTTTTCTCTAAAAAAACTACACCACCGGCGACATCATGCCTCGTGCTAAAGACACTTTAATTGCTTCGGTTTGTGGTTACCATTGTATGCTCTTTGTATCTCTGTGTGTTTACTGTATCATATGGCATTTGAATATGGACCACTAATGCGTATTTAACATTTGACTGACCTTGAAAGTTATCGCATTTCAACCCGCCACCCACGAGTTCCCGAGTAAGCTCTGAAGTCCAATGGGAATAGCTCTTTATTCGATATTTTCATTCCTTGGGGCAAGAATGCAATAAGCTGGCATGTGTGGGATACTTCGCTCGTTATTCGATGGGAATGAGCTGCAGGTCTTGGGTCCTTTAAAACCATTGCGGCATTGCGCGTTTGTCCCCTGTCATTTCCGGTGCGCATATTGAAAAATGGCGCTTGCCGCATTTCCGCTGACATTATTGAGCAGTGCGTGGCCCGGCATCGTTAACTTGGCCCTAACTCACATCCTGTCATTACGAGTGGCTGTTAAACAAACTTGGGGCGTTTCCCGCTGCTGCACTCCTGCTTGGTGGTGTTTCACTTAATTTGTCATTGGAACACTGTGCCGCCCTTTTGCCGCACTTTGAAGGCTCTGGGGGCGTGGCCAGCTCTGCTGACGTCAGCTTGGAGGATAATTCAGCTTGGCGACCAAGGACCGAAGAATGACGGATGGGGCGTCAAGTGACTTAGTTACGAC